CACGTGACGCTTGATTGTGCATTTGCTGGCGAGAATCTGTGCAAGGATAGGCCAGTACGCAACATGTCCTTGTTTCAACATCTGGTTGTTATTTTTACCTCTAATTCTTCACACATTTCCCTAGTAGAGCCTATTTCTTATCCATAGAAATTCGTTTGACCTCGTTCGCACAACTACGCAGCACGCGATGCTTGTTTGTGCGTTTGCTGGCGAGAATCTGTGCAAGGATAGGACAGTATGCAACATGTCATCGTTTCAATATCTGGTTGTTGTTTCAACAACTATTTCTTTAGACAGTTCCCTAGTACAACCTTTTTCCTAGCCATGGGAACTGGTTTGACCTCGTCGGCACGACTACGCAGCACGTGACGCTTGTTTGTGCGTTTGCTGGCGAGGATCAGTGCAAGGATAGCCCAGTATGCAATATGTCATCGTTTCAACGTCTGGTTGTTTTTACCCTTCAATCTTCACACGATTCCCTACTATAACCCATTTTGTAGCCATAGGAATGTGTTTGACTTCGTTTGCACAACTACGCAGCACGTGACGCTTGTTTGTGCGTTTGCTGGCGAGAATCTGCGCAAGGATAGGTCAGTATGCAACATGTCATCGCTTCAACATCTGGTTGTTGTTTAAACAACTATTTCTTCAGACAATTCCCTAGTATAACCTATTTCCAAGCCATAGGAACTGGTTTGACCTCGTCCGCACGACTATGCAGCACGTGACGCTTGTTTGTACGTTTGCTGGCGAGAATCTGTGCAAGGATAGGCCAGGATGCAACATGTCATCGTTTCAACATCTGGTTGTTGTTTTAACAACTATTCGTTCAGACAGTTCCTTAGTAAAACCTATTTCCTAGCCATAGGAACTGGTTTGACCTCGTCCGCACGACTACGCAGCACGTGACTCTTGTTTGGGTGTTTGCTGGCGAGAATCTGTGCAAGGATAGGCCAGTACGCAACATGTCATCGTTTCAAAGTCTGGTTGTTTTTACCTTTAAATCTTCATACGGTTCCGTACTACAACCTATTTCCTAGCCATAGGAACTTGTTTGACCACGTTCGCACAACTACGCAGCACGTGACGCTTGTTTGTGCGTTTGCTAGCAAGAATCTATGCAAGGATATGTCAACGGGAGTTGTGTGTTGGCCTGGTCCTCGCTTGGGCGAGCCGACTTTGTGGTCGGGTATGAGGGGACCAGCCGACCTGCAGCAGTGGGCGAGCTGGTTGACGAGGAGGTCGACCTGCACGGGGACCACTGCACGGGCGCCGACTTCAGGGTGGCGCCGACTTCATGGAGGTCGACCTGGGAGGTCGACTCAAAGGTGGTCGTCGACTCGGAGGTCGACGGACACGTACGGGAGCAGCTGGTCGACGTGGTTGCCCGCTCGACCTGGTTATCTGGGTGACGAGGATCTGCGGAGGAATGCGACGGTCGCCCAGGCAAAGTTGGCGAGCCTGACCTCGGTGGTGGTATCCCGAGGTCGAGGTGGCCGATCAGAAGCAGCCGTCAGTGCGAGGTTGGCGTAGTGTGTGCACTGTGCAGGTGACGAGACTCTGCACGCAATTCATCTGCGCACACCTGCGAAGTAAGTGCGCTGCTGTTCTGCATGAGCAATGCTGGCACGCCATCAACCTGCGACATTGGCACGCCGTCGACCTTGCACTGCTGGAGCGCAGTCGACCAAGTCGTGCTAGAACGCGGTCGACCAAGAACGCTGGTAGTTGGCCGACCTGAATGCATGCTCTAATGTAGTCTTGCCATGCCAACTTCATTGTATCATTGTTCTGAAATTTTCCTAGTAGAACTCTTGCCAACTTTCCCCGTGAACTAGCAAATAGTGTGCGCACAAGGAAAATGACTAAGGACTAACGAACGCAGAGATCACACTAGCACCCGTGCCTAGCCCGCAGTCTAGCTCCCGTTGTCGTAGTTATCTCCGCATGGTGCGGTGAGCTTGGACGGCACATGACTTACGTTTCAGTCAGGTCGATGTAGAGGTCACTTACCTAAGTTGTTCGTAGGCCGGCAGCCGTGCAGTCTCTAAATTGCGCATAGGTGACGCCAAGGTGATGGAGACGCTAGAGGCACACCTAGAGGACGAGAGGACACGTCATGCGGCCCAGGATTATGAACCGATCCCCTGGGTGGCTGTGGAGGCTGGCATTCGCACCATATGGGCGACGTTGCACCCTTCTCAACCTGCGTCTCCTCGACCGGTGAACACAGAGGACGGCGTCGACATGGGCGTCAACGCCGGAGGTGGCCAAGTCGGCAGTAGTGCGGGAGGCACGTCGAGGTAGAGAGGTGTGATTCATGTCGACGAAGTCGGCGCCATTCAGGGGCGAGACGTGCGGTCATCGGCAGCTGCAGGCTCCTCGCGGGGCGACGTCGGAGGACGACGAAGCGGTTTGTCGCCGACGTCGGCGACCCAGGTGACGGCGGACGGGATTGCACCGAGCTACGGCTACTTTAAGTTTGCACCGAACAGGATCTTGGCCACCCCGCCGCTGACTGGTGACAGGTAATCCTCACCTGGAAGAAAGCCATCGAGCCCTAGCTGGAGATGGCCGGGTTGATCAACTTCGCCCGAGGTTGCGTGGAGACGCCGGGCAACCCCAACCTTCATGCAGAATTTCGCGCCGTGCAGCTGTTGACCTTCATGGTCATCTTGCGGTGCTGCTCGCCGGGCGTGCAGATCGTCTTGAAGTGGTGCCGGGAGTACCTCGACGCCGGCCACCAGGCGTGGCACTTCATTGAGTCGACCTACCAAGTCATCGACGACTTGTTCATCTCCCAGTCGGAGGGGCAGCTGACGCACCGGCGTATGGGCGACGAGGAGACGGCGACCGACTACTGCAACCGAGCCCGGCAAATCCTCGCCACCATCAGCATGGCCGCCGCGCAGTACTCGACGCCGTCGTACGTCACCCATGTTATGGAAGGGTTGTCGAACAACTACAGCCTCCTTGAGAGGGGCACAAGAACGACACTCAACGAGGAAAACTTGACCTCGTACATCCTGCAGGATGAGGCGATGCAGGAGGCTGAGCGGTCCTAGGAGCTCTTAGCGCAGGCCAACTTCGTCGCCCCGACGAAGAAAGGAGGTCGCCCGGGGGAGCGCGGACAACCTGGTGGCGGCAGAAGCGGTGGCTGGAAGTCGACCAAGGAGGTCGACAAGAAGTCGACCAAGGATGGCGGTCAAGGAGGAGGAGGTTGACGTCGGGAGTCCTGGATCTGCCGCAGCCTCGACTACCTCTCCTTCGAGTGCCTCGACCGCAGTGACTCCGACGACGACGACAAGGGCGGTCGCGGGAGGTCAAGCAGTTGTTGTCTTTGTTAAGGAGGGAATCAGCTGCGCAAGGAGAAGCAGTTGACCAAGCCGTCGACTTCGGCGAAGGACGCCGACTCCTCTATAGGCGGCAAGGCGCGGGACGACAAGACGGCGTCGTGCTCGCTGGTTGATGTCGTGGAGCCGACCGTCTTGCTGGCGCCGGAGGCCGGAGAGGACTTCCAGGCAGTGGCGGCAGCCGTGCATGCGAACCCGGTGGTGGTCCTGCTCGACAGCGGTTGCTCCCATCACCTGATGGGGACGAAGGAGGTCTTCCTCGACCTGCAGCCGAGCGGCTCCATCAAGCACGTGCGCGGCTTCAATGGGGCGCTGCAGGACGTCCAGGGCCGTGGCACCGTCGCCCTGCAAGGCGAGGCCGGGAAGCAGGTGCTCATCTCCAATGTGCTGTACGTCCTAAATGTGCGAGAAAACCTGCTGTCGGTCGGCCAGCTGAAGCAGCACGGCATGAAGTTGCAGGAGGACAGAGACGGCATGCTGGTCATCTCGGCGGCTGGGGAGGTGCTCGGTCGCGCGACGTACTCCGGGTGAGTTCTGTGCACCGATCTGCATCCCTGCACGATGATATCGGCGTCGACCACGCCGGAGGTTGTGGCCCTGCGGGCGATCGTCTCGAAGACGAAGTCGACGCCAGACCGGATGCACGTGAGACTTGCGCATGCCGGCATGGACACCATCAGGAGCTCGGCGAAGAACGAGGCCGCCATTAGGCTAGATCTCAAGTCGGCGACGGGCGCCGACTCACCGTGTGTCTCGTGCGTCGGCGGGAACCTAGCGCGGTACACCTTCCCCGACCAAGGCTCTGACGCCGACGACGTACTGGCCGTCATGCACATCGACCTGTGCGGGCCGTTCCACGTGGCTGCCAAGGACGGCAGCTTGTACATCCTGCTGCTGAAGGACCGCAAGACCCGCTTCGTGTGGGTAAGGCCGGTCGCTACAAAGTCGGATGTGCTGCTGGAGTTCAAGAAGTGGCTGGTCTTGGTGGAAAGGCAGACGAAGATGTCGGTGCTGCAATTGCGCTCAAACCGAGGAGGGGAGTTCCTCGAGAAGAAGTTCACCGACTTTGTGGACGACAAGGGGATCGTCCACGACCTGACCTGTCCGTACACCCCATAGCAGATTGGCATGGCAGAGTGGGAGATGAGGACAGTGGTGGAGTCTGTGCGGATGATGCTGCTGGCGTGCACCACCACTGGTGGCACCTTGCTCTGCGACAGGCTGTCTGGGTCCGCCACTGCCTTGAGCGGTCGACGCTGCCGTCGGGGACGACACCGTACTAGCTGCTGATCGGGCAGAGGACTGACTTGTCGCTAGCGTGGGTGTGGGGATGCATGGCGCAGTTCCTTGTTCCCGAGCAGCAGCGTGGTGGGAAGCTGAAGCCGAAGGCCAGGTGGGGCCTTCACCTTGGCGTGTCGGCGGCGAGCAAGGGCTGGGAGCTCCTTGACGTCGACGCCAACTGGGTGGTCACCACGTCGGACGTGGTGTTCTACAAGGAGATGTCGTTGGCCGAGTGGAAGTCGGAGCACGGGCCGGTGTCCGGTCGGACGACTGCTACCCCGCCCCACGACACCTCGTCGGCAACGCTGCCGCTGCTCGCTGAGGTCGGTGAGCTTGTTGCTGAAGACGTTGAGGACGTCCGCCCTCCTACCCCTCCGCCTCCGCTCCCTCCGCCACCACCGCCGCCTCCTCCGCCTCGACTGCTGCCACCGACACCTCCACCCTCACCACCACTCCCACCACCACCCCCACCCCCTCCACTACCTCCACCACCACCTCCACCGCCCCAGCCAGCCCCTCCAACGCCCTTGCCCCCCTTGCCCTTGCCGGTGCGGCGTCTCCTGCTAGGGGCAGACGTAGCGCCGACCGACTCGAAACCAACGAGGTCGGCCGCAGCAGCAAAAGCAACAGAGGGCAAGAGGGGGGGGTGGGAACACCCCTCAAAGACGGGGGTGCGAGGGTCACCACGAGAGGCTCCTACAGCAACTATGCTGTTCTCTTCTGCTAGGAGGCGCTCCTCGAGGAGGTCAACGGTGAGTGTGGTGGGGCAAACTGAGAGGAAGTGGTCCCTGACTAAGCGAAGGGAGTCAGGGAGCCGGGTGACTATGTAGTAGAGGGTGATGTACATGGGGGGGGGGGGGGTTCTTAGCACAGAACTCAGCAGGAAGCGCAGCGTGGTAGCGAGTGTCGCTAGTGCGTAGGTGTGTAATGAGGTCAGCTAGTGTGGGAAAGGCAGCAAGGTCAGGGAACAGGTATGGCAGCATGAGGCGGCTAAGTGCAGCAGTGGCACAGAGTAGCGTGCAACTACAGCGCCGTACAAGGTCTTAGCACTCTTTACTGGCAAAAGTGTGCACGCTCAGTAGTCGGTAAGTGGCAATGCACAGCAAGACAGGCAGCAGCATTGCGTGTGGCCCACTGTGCACGAACAGTGCTGTCAGCAGTAGCAGGCGGGGCAGGAGAGGCACCAGAGGTGAGATCGAACAGGGAGAGTCTGTCTGCCCTATCGCACTGTAGGAACAGCTGGAGGTTATCAATCCAGACCTCAAAGTCAAGAGCACGACCCTCGGCATCAAAGATAACGACACTAGGGGTAGCCATGAGTGCAGCAATCTAGTTGGGAGTGATCTCACCAGTCCGAGGAAGGAGGACCGGGGCGCGCCGGTGGGAACAGTAGCGGCTCAACGGCAGGGTGGCTCGGCGGCTCGGCTGCTGGGCAGCTCGGCGGCTCGGCTGTTGGGCGGCTTGGCTGCTGGGCAGCTTGGCGGCTCGGTTGCTGGGCGGCTGGGTGGCTCGGCGGCTCGGCTGCTGGGCGGCTCGATGGCTCGACTGTTGGGCGGCTCGGGTGCTGGGCGACTCGGCAGTTTGGCTGCTGGGCGGCTCAGCGGTGAAGGGGCCGGTAGAGGCGGCAATGGGGCCGGTAGAGGCGGCTATGGGGCCGCTAGGGGCGGCGACGGGGCCGCCAAGGGCGGCAAGGTGGCCGCGAAGGGCGGCGACGCGGCCTCTAGGGGTGGCAACGGGGCCTCCAAGGGCGGCGACGGGGCCGTAGAGGGGCCGCAAGGGGCCTAGAGGGGGCGGCAACGAGGCCGCGAAGGGGCCGTAAGGGGCCTAGAGGGGGCGGCTACGGGGACGCAAGTGGCGGCGACGGGGCCGCGAAGGGGCCGCGAGGGGCCTAGAGGGGCGGCGACGAGGCCTAGAGCGGCAGCGACGGGGCCGTGAAGGGGCCGCGAGGGGCATAGAGGGGCAGCGACGGGGCCGGAAAGGACGGCGATGGGGCCACTAAGGGTGGCGCGAGGGGCCTCTTGGAGGACGCAACGTGAGGGCGGCCTACAGGGTGCGCCTCGGGCAGAAAAAAAGATCAAGTTAGGTGGTGGGCCTTGAGAAGCGTTCCCACGAGGGAACCCACTCTATGCCATGTGAAGAATGAGGAATGAATAAACTAGCAAGGAGGTGGGTACAAATAGGAGAACCTAGAAGTGTTGTACCCCATATTATCTACCCCACTACAGCCTACATAGACTATAGCATATAAGTTTGACATGGCTCGTGAGTCGTCACATTATTACTAGAGTCTCCACCTCGTGAGCCAGAGTCAGTGAGTCTCCCCCCTTTACCCTCTGCAGTCATTTCCTCGCTGCAACCATTTGTAGTCTCGTTCTTTTCCGGTCTTTGCTTGCAGTTCTTACCCGTCCTGACATCCTCTTCCTTGCTCCTTTAACTGGCCTTCCCTTGTTCCAATGCCGCCTGACTTCATGCCAGATGCATGCGTGTGAACAAGCTTCTCCTTTCAGTGCTTGACACAAGCATGCATTGCATCTGTTTTTGCTCATCTTGTCATCAAGTATCCCTCTTCTTCTACTATGTGTCTTCTCTTGTTCACATGACTCCATTGCCTCGCATGCCCACATATATTATTCGATGTGTCTGCATCAAATATCCCCTTCTCCCCACTTTTTAAGGCGTTTCCCTCGTGGCATTCGACCCAACCCTACGCACGCCTGTGTGCTTTCTCCAGGCTGCAGGGAGTGGTGGAACGCAGGGATCCATCGTTGAAGACATGGCTACAGAGCGACTGATGGGGGTACTTGTTGATGCGGTCAAAGAGGCGGTGCTGGCAGCTGTGAGAGAGGAGCTTGCTGCACACAAGGAGGACGTGGATGAGTTGCGGCGCATGTTGACTGCTGTGGGGGAGGGGAATGATGTGACTGCTGCTGTGGGGAAGGAGAGGGAGAGGGAGTTGGCAGCAGTGAAGGGGGTATTGGAAGCGGTGAAAGGGGGTTTGGCAGCAGTGAAGTGGGAGGTTGCATCAGTGAAGGGGGAGTTTGCAGCAATGAAGGGGGAGGTTGCATCATTGAAGGGGGGGTTTGCAGCGGTGAAGGGGGAGTTTGCAGCGGTGAAGGGGGAGTTTGCAGCGGTGAAGGGAGAGTTGGTAGCATTGAAGGGGGGAGTTGCAGCAATGAAGGGGGGATTGGCAGCAGTGAAGGTTGAGTTGGCATAACACAAGGAGCAATGGGCTGAAGGTAGTAGGGCATCGTATGTATGGGGCGTGAGAGGGGAGAGTAGAAAGAGAAGGCACGAAATGGCAGCGGAGTTTGCATGGGAGGAGAGTAGGAGGGAGGTGCAGGAGTTGGGTTGGGGACATGCATGGAGGAGTTGGCAGCCTGCAACGATTGGCAGAGGACACAAGATCTGAGATTGAATGTTGAGGTGGAAATCCGGTAGAGTGAAGGCGATCGGAGGGCTGCATAGGAGGTGAGTGCTTAATGAATTGCTTCACGCGGCGTACATTGCTTTCTAGTTTCTTCTTGTCACTGTGAACATCCCGTCCCTTGTCATGTTTTCCTTTTCCCTCGCCATCCATTTCTGCCAGGCAATCAGGTCAGCGTCACCAATTCCTGATCTGGACCCGAGGAATCATGACAGCCTCTCGGACACCATCCTCGGCCATGTGTCCACAATGACCCACCTGACGAGCATTGACTTGGAAGACAGCTCAGGCTTCAGTGCAGAGGGCATGAATCACCTCTACAGCATGCCATGGCTGGCGTTGCTAAACCTCAACGGCACAGACATCTGTGACAGTGCGCTGGAAGGCATTGGGTTCTTGACCCGTCTCAAGCAGCTCTATCTCTGGCAGACCAACGTGACCAGTGCTGGTCTGCTGCACTTGACAGCTCTCTCCTCTCTACAAGAGTTGGACCTTTCCCGTTGCCAGGGTGTGAGTGCTGCTGGCGTGGTGCATCTGGGAAGGTTGACAAGGCTTGAGAAACTTTGGCTACATGAAACAACAGTAACAGATACTGGTCTACTGCACTTGACAGCACTCTCCACTCTCAAAGAGTTGGACCTTTCCCATTGCAAGGGTGTGAGTGCTGCTGGCATGGTGCATGTGCGAAGGTTGACAGGGCTTGAGGAACTTTGGATACATGAGACGGTAGTCACAGATACTGGGCTGCAGCAGTTGACGTGTCTGTCTTCTCTCAAGGTGCTAAGTATTTCCAACTGCAAGGGCGTGACAAATACTGGCATGGTGCATGTGGGGAGGCTGACAGGGCTTGAGAGGCTTAATATGGATCATTCGGCAGTCACGGACGATGGGCTGCAGCAGCTGACTGCCCTGACCAAGCTGACATCAGTATATATGCCAGAAGATGTTTTGCTCGTGAATGATGATGTGCGCAGGCGGATAGGCTGGTAGGGCGTCAGGGAGTGGTGATGGAAAGGTGGGTGAGGTGATGGAAGAGTTGACCCTGGCTGTCTAGGAGAGACTGAGAAGAAATGTGGAGGCAAGGGGTGTGAAGGATGAGGAGAGGCATGAACGCGGAGGAGTGAAGCATGGATGGTGGTTATACACAGAGAGTTGGAGAATGGTCGTGTTGGACACAAGCAGGTGCAAGGCTGTTTGGGCAAAAGCCTAGCCAAGGGCACAAAGGGAGGCTGCATGAGCCATGCCTTCCTGTTTATGGGTGTTGGCTGTACCGTATGTAGAGTGGGAATAATGAGAACAAGGGTACTATGTTTATGATGGGGTATACAACTTGCTAAGTTATCTATATATGACAATGCTCCTAGAACAATACCTTGTGTCCGCATGGTTAACGGCAAGAGGCATGCATGCCTTGGCAATGCCCAACCAGTCCTTATGCCCATCCAGCACTACGCTCACCACCTCCCACAGCAACATGTGGTGTGAAAGCAGCTAGCTGAACACAGGTGGAGGATGTGATGCCTAGGAAGAGAGGGAGTAGAGTGGAATACTGGAGTCATGTATGAGATGGAAGAGTTGCATCTGAGGTGAAATCCCATGAGTATTGCAGTGGTGCCAACAGCTCGTGCTCCTCACCTCTGGTAGCACAACTTAACATCAACACATTTCTTGTGTGTATGTGGGTGTGGGTGTGTGTGTGTGTATGTATGTCTGTGTCTGTGTTTGTGTCTGTATGTGTGTATGTATGTGTGTGTGTGTGTGTTTTGTTTTTGGTTATTTTCTTTCCTTCAGGCCTGATTTACTTGGTTAGAATATGGGAAGAATATGGGAAGAATATGGGAAGGAAGGTGGAGGGTTAGGGATGGGATATGGGCGGGGGGGGGGGGGGGTATTGCAGGGGCAAAAGGGAGGTATTAGTGGACACTTGATACATCTGATGCGAATTATGGCAGGTATGGGTGACAACACTAACATTGCTGCACCCGCAGCTGCTGGTGGCAGATGGAACGCGAGCGATGTTGCCAACTCGTAGGTAAGAGGGCAACTCGGAACTGAGAGGGCAACTCGGAACTGAGGGAGCAACTCGGAACTGAGAGGGCAACTCGGAACTAAGAGGGCAACTTGGAACTGAGAGGGCAACTCGTAGGTAAGAGGGCAACTCGTAGTTGAGAGGGCAACTCGTAGGTGAGAGGGCAACTTGTAGTTCAGAGGGCAACTCGTAGGTGAGAGGGCAACTCGTAGTTTAGAGGGCAACTCGTTGGTGAGAGGGCAACTCGTAGTTCAGAGGGCAACTCGTGGTTGAGAGGGCAACTCGTAGGTGAGAGGGCAACTCGTAGTTCAGAGGGCAACTCGTGATTGAGAGGGCAACTCGTAGGTGAGAAGGGTGCGGAGAATCACTCAACACCGAGAGCTTGACTACAAGAGAAAGCACGGGTGGTACGAGTGATCGTAGAGTATGTTTGTGTTCTCTAACAATTGTGCGTTCACTGGGTCAAACAACAAAAGTTTCACTAGCAAAAGTTGAGAACAACGATAGAAATTGCAATAGCAAGAATGACTACATCAAATGCAAGGCAGCCTAGCAGGCAGGCAGGTCGACCGCTAGCGCAGCAAACACTACAGAGAGGCAGCTTGCCAACGTAGCAAGTTGTTGGCTTGCGAGTGCTGCACCAAGGCGGCTTGCCAATGCTGCAGTAGGGCGGCATGCCAGCATTGCAACCGCAGGTAAAAACACATGCGCACACCTACTTTGCATGAGCTTGTAGACGGTTGAGCACGACGTGCACCGTCACGCACATCACCTAGGTGCTTGATTGGCCATGTGCTGTCGGTTGTGCCTGGTGAGCCACGTCGACTTCGCCACAACAGCCTTGACTACGATCACATACCTCCGTGGAACCTCGTTGACTATGTAACTCGGTCGACCAGGAAAACTTGCAAACTGGTGTACATGCTCGTTGATCGCTCAGGTTGACACCACCCAAAGACCTTTGCCAAGTCCAAGCTCCGGCAGGTCGATGAATCCCCTCGTCAACCACGCTAGTTGAAGTCAGCCGCCGACTTCCCATCTTCAACGGCTTCACAGGGTCCCAGGCAGTAGACCAACTTTGTCGACCTGCATGCCCTAGTCAGCGACATCCCGAGCAGACGTTGCGCACGGTCCGCGGGCAGCCAACTACACCCCCCGCGCACCCGATTGCAAGGTCAGTTTCGCCCAAGTGAGGGTGGGGCCATTTTCCGTCAACACTCCCCTGTCGCAAGCCGGCACCCTACCTAAGCTCCACCCCAGAGCCCAAGGGATCAAATACACAAGGAAACTTTGTCCTCGGGGTGCATCCAATACACAGCATGTTGTTCACCGCACCAGCCATGCAGAAGGGCATGGCGCCTACTACTACACGTCATCATCACCGTCACCGACGTCAGCCAAGCGTACTTGGCCAATCGCGATGGAGCACCGGTTGAAGGCCAGAAAGTGTAGCGCCTTCGTCAGGAAGTCGGGATGGACTGCAAGGCTATCTTCCCGTGCTTCGCCATTTGCTATAGCCAGGCGTAGCGTTGCTCTATGTGCTTGAAGTTGCCCTTCAATCCCAAGCCGTCAGCAATCGCGATGGCACACTGGTTATCTACGTGCAACATGGTCGGCTTCCCTACATCAAGAAGTTGGAACTCGGCAAGGAGGAAGCAAAGTCGGCGTGCCTTCTTGCCGGCTTCGGCGACCGCGATATACTCCGACTAGGTTAATGAGAGCGTCATGCACTTGATGCGCTAACTCATCCAGGAGATTGCGGCCCCATCTTAGACAAACAGATAGACATTCGTGCAGCTGCGATTTTGCTTGTTGTTGGCGTCGTCGACGTCCGCGCAGGTCACAGGTGTTGGCGAGGTAGTGCAGGAAGCGGTCGATCTCACACCATTGGTGGCCACTTCGCACCGTCAGGCCGCTCCCCAGCTTGCTGCACGCAAAGGCGATGTCCGGCCTCTTCGTGGTTGCACGAACTACAGCGAGACGACCTTCTGCCGGAATTTGCACGACTGAGACTCCTTTTTGTCAAACGTCAGCTCAGCGTAGGCATCGACGGAGATCGGCGTCTTCAAAATCCGCCCGGTTTGCTCCTCTTCAATGAAGCGCCTTCGCAGCTTGTCAATGTAGGTTTGCTGGTAGAACCACATCTTCCTTGCTGGTTGGTCATGCAAGATCTCCATCCCAAAATACTTGACTAGACTGATCTTGCGCAGCTCGAAGGCAAACTGTAGCAACTCCTTCAGCATCGCACTACTGCTGTTGGCAGCGGCGAGAAGGTCGTCGACGTAGACCGGCACCAGCATACCACTCCATCGTTGCCGGCCTTGGAGTTCAGCGCCTCGTAGACTTGCCTTCTTCCCAAGCCGGAGGCACAGTGTCGACTGACGAGTACCACAACAGTGGCGACTACTTCAGCCCGTACAAACTCTTCAGCAGCTTGCACACGTGGCCGGTCCCGTCATCGTAGTAGTCAGGCTGGTGCATGTAGAGCATGTCAATACAGGAACGTAGGAATGAATGACTAGAATGCGCAAGTATGAAGGTAGATATGGGAAACCTAACCATAGCGTTAGCAAAGTGGTACACCACCTAGACTAGACAATACAAACTACAACAAATATACGTTGACACACCCCCATAGTGTAGGTGATGGTAGTCTAATGGAGAGCAGCACGAAGTCACTATACAGTTCGAGAACAAGGGTTACAGGACCAGTGAGCAAGAACAAGCAATAGTCACAAGACCGGTTGTCATGAACAAAACAAATCTTAGGATGAATTTCAAAGTAACCAAACAGTTTGAGACCAAGGGTCACATGACCAGTCAGCAAGTACAAGCAATGGTCACAAGACCAGTGCACAAGAACAAAAAAAACGTCAGGGTGGATCTCAAAGTCACCACACAGTCTGAGAGCAAGGGTCGCATGACCAATCAGCAAGAGGGCACACTGCAAGTCCACATGCAGGTAAATATATAGCAATTATAGTGAGATGCGACAGTACAAGGAAAAACATCTTCATGCAAGCAAGTGAGAACCTGCAGGTACAAGGCCAGTTAGGTGCATAATTGCTGGTGGTCACAAGGCGGCAACGCCTTGTGAAAGATGTCTACCTGCACCTCTACCAACCGCTGCAGCTGGAAAAAGGTCCTCGTCCGAGATATTTGCTGTTGCTGCCCCTGCTTGCTTATTAATGCCAGGCTGGCAGCTGTGCTGGCAGCTGTGCTGGCAGCAGTGCTGCTGCTTCTGTTGCTGTTAGTGCTGCTGCTGGTGTTGCTGCTATTGCCACCACTGCTGCTGGCACCTGCTGCTGCTCCAGATATACCTACTCCTCCTGCAGCAGCTACGCCTGCCCCAGTACCACCTGCACCAGAAGTGCCAGCAGCAGCGGAGGAAGAGGAAGTGGCAGAGAAGTTTGTCAGAATGCTAGCAAGGAATTGGGCTTAGGAGCCATGGCTTAGGAGCCTTGGTGGTTGAGTTCGAGTGAGTTGACTTAGGAGAAATATCGAGAGGAATGGTGTTTCACTAATGAGAATGACAAGTACAAATAGGTAAACAGCAACTCAAGGAGGTGCACCACCAAACATGATACAATGTCTACACTACAACTGCTAACTATTATATAAAATATGTAACCATATTTTGACAAAGTTGAGTGTCTTGCCGACAGCAAGAGGGCCGAAAAACGCTGGCAGGTCTGGTGCTGCAGTCTGTGTGGCCTTCGATCCCTTTCATCCCTTTCATCCCCGTCATCTCTTTCCAACGCGCACCTCAAGCAAGGGGTGGGTGGAACGGGACGCACGGGGCATGTGGGAGGAACTGATGCAATAGCTCCAACCCACCTGTGCCTGCTGCAGGTGTGCTGCTGCGGTGCGAAGATCGGGCGAGTAAAGACTTATGCAGGGAGAAGAAGGGGGCCACTCGGAGGGGGTGAGAGCGGCGGGGAAAGGAGAAGGAGGCAAGCTGTGGGATTGACAAGGAAGAGCTGCATGCTTCAGAACCCGGCTAACAAGTGAGAGAGGAAGATGAGGGGAGGATGGAGCGGGGAGAGCGTGGCAGGAAGAAGGCGCAAACAGCTGGGTATGACAAACAAGGCTTGAGTGCTGCAGAGACCTGTTGTTGCGTAGTCTCTGCTCTGGCTAACAGCAAATAGTGACAGCGGAGGAGAGGAGAGTGAACACGGAAGATTGAACTTGAAGGCCAGTAGATACCGAAATTAGCATGCAAAACTTGATTGCTGCACAGCCGTGCTGCCACATAGTCTTTGGCTAACAGCTGACGGAGAGAGCGCAAAGCGGAAAGATGGAGGGCACAAAGGAAGAACAGAAAATATCCATTTAACAAGAGAAGGGTTCAATGCTGCTACCACATAGTCGTTGGCTAGCAGTGATGGAGAGAAAAGACGGGGGGGGGGGGTGACGGACTGTGGAGGGGTTGATTGAGAGCGGAGGGGGAAGGAGAAGGAGGTGTTGGGAGCGGAGGGGGATTGACAAGGAAGAGCTGGATGCTGCACTGCCCTGCTGTTGGGATAACAACTGATGGAATGAGGGGATGAGTGGCGGTTAATGTCAAGTGCCTGGCGGCTCTCACGATAGCGATGAGCGATAGCGATCACGTCTGGACATGAACGGGAGGAGATCCTGAGGGGCATGCTGCAGGGGAGAAAGAAGGGCAGATCGTAAGACAAGACAAGGCAGGCAGGTATGAGTGTTGGAGAAATGAACAGTACCCAAGCTGCTTGGGTAATCAATCAGGTCGGACTTTGTTCAAGACTTTGAAACCAGGTGCCACAGAAGAGCAACTCAGAGTACAAGATACCTGAGTTGCTAAACAAGATCAACCAAGTCGTAGACCACAGGCATGCAGAAACACAACACGATGGAAAAACGATGGGAAGAGGAAAAATCGAAGTCACCTACCCTCTTGAGCAGCTGAGTGCACATGCTAAACCTCTCATTATCCAATTACGAAAACGCCTCCCTCTCCTCATGCCTACTCTCCCCGTCCCTATTCCCCCCATCCCTACTCTCCCCGTCCCTACTCTCTCCGTCCCTACTCTCCTCGTTCCTACTCTTCCCGTCCCTATACTCCCTGTCCCTACTCTCCCCGTCCCTACTCTCCCCATCCCTACTCTCCCCGTCCCTCCTCTCCCTGTCCATACTCTCCCCGTCCCTATTCTCTTCTTCCCGTCCCTACTTTCCCCGTCCCTATTCTCCCTGTCCCTATGCTTTCCGTCCCAACTCTCCCCATCCCTACTCTCCCCGTCCCTTCTCTCAACGTCACTTCTCCCCCGTCCCTACTCTCCCCGTCCCTTCTCTCCCCGTCCCTACTCTCCCCATCCCTATTCGCTTCTCCCCATCCCTACTCTCCCCATCCCTACTCTCTCCGTCCCTACTCTCACCGTCCCTAATCTCCCCATCCCTACTGTTCCCGTCCCTTCTCTCCCCGTCCCTTCTCTCCCTGTCCCTACTCTCCCCGTCCCTACTCTCCCCGTCACTACTCTCTCCGTCCCTACTCTCTCCGTCCCTACTCTCCCCGTCCCTACTCTCCCCGTCCCTACTCTCCCTGTCCCTACTCTCCCCGTCCCTACTCTCTCCGTCTCTACTCTCCCCGTCCCAACTCTCCCCGTACCTACTCTAGTCGTGCATACTTCCATCGTCCCTATTTCCGCCTGCCTGTTTCCCATCCCTATTTCCGAATGCCTATTTCCCCTATTTCCGCCTGCCTATTTCCCGCCCCTATTTCCGCCTGCCTATTTCCCGTCCTTATTTCCGCCTGCCTATTTCCCGTCCCTATTTCCGCCTGCCTATTTCTCGTCCCTATTTCCGCCAACTATTTCCCGTCTTAGGATCGTAAGCACCTTAGTCGGCAATAGTCTACTTGCTATTGCCTATCGTGTTCTCCACGATCTCCCGAATCCAATGATATGCGCAGCTCTGCTTGAAGTTGTCAATACACACTTCAGCAATTTTCAGAATCTGATTGGTATGATTTCCAGAATGAGTACAAGCAGTTTTATAGTCAGGCAAGACACAAAATGCAATTCGTAACTTCACTTGTTTCCCAAGTAACCGTGTGCGCCTCGCTTCACCCCGAGTCGCACACGCAACCGAACCGAATTCGGTGAACACTCCTCAAGACCGAATCTGGAACCTTCTCGAACGCGCCTTGATCTCGAAGCACAATTTTCCCCTCGTCAATCTCATTCTCGATGCTTCTCCTTCTCTCTCCCTCCTTCTATCACTTTTCTTCTCGATTTCTCTCCCACTTCTCACGCCATAGCCTCTATTCCCCACCGTAGGTCGATTTCCACCGTTTCACATACGCGCTTACATTTCGCCGTCGTAGATGCTTTCGCCTTAGGTTCCGTGGTTGGGCGAACCAACCCTAACAATCTCCTCTGTGGTTTGTCAACCACGAACACCACTCGCACTCCTCCCCTGCTCCTTGTAGCCTTGACAGTGTCTAAGTCGGCTTCACGCTCCCCTGCAGCTCCTGCACCTTGAACCTCTGCTTACGTGTCTTGAAGTTGAGCGCCTTGACATCCAAACCTTGAGAGATTTTCTTATGCCTCTCACGTCTCCTCAGCATCTTAACACTCAACATCTCTCGGGTCTCGTACCCTTCAACGTGTTCATCCTCCTTAAGCACTTGCCTCTTTGCAATTGCATTCGCCTTTGATCCTTTCACCATGATGTCCCCTTTCACAACTTCAACTCCCACACACTTCGCATTTACCGCTTCATCTTCAACCACGATCGCTGCTGCAAAAGTGTTGACATCGTCTCCATCTCCACCGTTTACCGCTGTTGCCTCCATGATTACTATCTCCTCTTCCTGCTTCACTGCTGCCTCCACACTCGCAGCCATATCATCCGAGTCCTCACTCTCATCATCCTCAGTAGATTCAGGATCCTCGTAGATCTCATCCTTATCGTTCATCGCGACCAAGTTCATCTCATAGAAACCGTCACTCAAATAACCATCCGCATACTTCTCCCACTCAGAACCAAACACAGTAACCTTGCCACTGTTATAGAATATCTTGCAGCCCAAGTTATCAAGCTGTGACTGACTGACCAGGTTCACCTTTAAATCCTCAACCAGCAGCACATTCTCCGGTCTCATCTCTCTATACGGACTCTGCAGCACCACATCACCCTCTCCTATCACTGGTAACTTCCCACTGTTACCTTGTAGTATATAATCCTCACTCGACTCCTTCACATTCTCCATCCAATCTGACCTGAATGTCATGTGACGCGTGCATCCGCTGTCCATGAACCATGCCGTCTTTTCACGTCCGTCCGTCTGACGAACCTCCATTGGTAAACGCACCACATTCGCAAGATGCACTCCTCCAAGGATCACATCATCTTCGTTCGCTTCTGCTACATTCGCCTTTGCCACCACATTCCTCTGCTACGACGGACCCTTGTAGCTCATGCTATTTGGGTTGGAGTAGCACTCTACGGCACGATGCCCGTAGCGCCCACAATAATCAAACTTGCCGCCAAAACCTCGTTTCTGCTGCCACTCCGCTCCTGCATTTTCTCCTTTCTCATTCTCCATCGCTTTGCCCTTATAGTTTCTGCTCCGTGGGTTCTCATAGCAATTTATCGCCTTATGCCCGCGCTTTCTACACTGGTAGCATGTTCCAAACGCCTTCGTGGCATTCACCAGAGCGGGCCTCTCCTCATCAAACTCCTTAGCTACTGCTGCTGCTGCTTTCTTTTTCCTCATCTCCTTCACCGTCTCAAGCGACTGCAGAATCTCCTGTAGCTTCATCAAACTCTCCGGCGGTTGGTACGTAAACATACCGATGTCGGATTCCCACTCCTTAGGAAGGCCTTGGATGATATAGTCAAACATCTCATGCTCCGTCTCCACGGCTCCCATCACCCGCAAATCGTCGTTGTAACTTTTCGCCCTGTTGATGTTGGTGATGATTTTCCCACCTTTCTCCATGCTCAGCATTAGCAGTTGTTTCCTGATCGCCTTCTTGTTAACATCGTTGGTGCCCATGTATGTGGACTCTAGGTACTCCCACGCTTTCTGTGCAGAGTTCAGCTCCCCTGCAAACTGGTCCAAATCCAGAGCGATTCCATTGGCAACTGAATGACAAACCTGAAAGAAAGCTTGCTTACTTTGGTTTTTAAACGCCGCTATTTTCTCCTTCGTGTCCGTCGTGGAAGGCGCAACTCCCTCCATCGTCTCCTCATCAGGACGGTAGTATGGCAAGAGGTCCACTTCCTCTGCCCTTCGAATGAACTTCTTTCGCCACACGTTGTAGTTGCTTCCATTGAAGCGCTGAGCTTCACTGAGTCCGATCGTCGGTTTTGCCACCATTCGGCCACTCACAAGGGCCTCGAGAAGAGCCTTCAACTGCGGGTCTCCAAGACTCACACTGGAACCCGAACTTGCCTCGTCTCACATAGCGTAGGCGTGAACGACTCCTCTTCTCCACTAATTTCACTTAGCACACCAAGTGAATTCGCGACGATCGACGCGCTCGTTTGCCAAGCTCTGATACCAGTTCTTAGGATCGTAAGCACCTTAGTCGGGAATAGTCTACTTGCTATTGCCTATCGTGTTCTCCACGATCTCCCGAATCCAATGATATGCGCAGCTCTGCTTGAAGTTGTCAATACACACTTCAGCAATTTCCAGAATCTGATTGGTATGATTTCCAGAATGAGTACAAGCAGTTTTATAGTCAGGCAAGACACAAAATGCGATTCGTAACTTCACTTGTTTCCGAAGTAACCGTATGCGCCTCGCTTCACCCCGAGTCGCACACGCAACCGAACCGAATGCGGTGAACACTCCTCAAGACCGAATCTGGAACCTTCTCGAATGTGCCTTGGTCTCGAAGCACAATTTTCCCCTCGTCAATCTCATTCTTGATGCTTCTCCTTCTCTCTCCCTCCTTCTAGCACTTTTCTTCTCGATTTCTCTCCCGCTTCTCACGCCATAGCCTCTATTCCCCACCGTAGGCCGATTTCCACCGTTTCACACACGCGCTTCCATTTCGCCGTCGTAGATGCTTTCGCCTTAGGTTCCGTGGTTGGGCGAACCAGCCCTAACATCCCGTACCACCTCGCATCACGCCGTGCCACCGTCCCGCGAAACTCTCCACCAGTGGTGGGGCCGCCAACGGTGCTCGTGCGTGAATGCGCGTATCTCACCCGCCTCGTCACACGCGCATCTACCGCTTCAGTTCTGCCCAGGCGGCTGCAGGCGCGCCTGGCGGAAGGGCGGTGGGCGGACGCCAGGCGAGGCGAGCAGCACCCGACAAGCACCGCGCGACGCCGCTGCCACCGTGACTGGCCAAGAAACTGGCCAAGTCTATCGTAACTACTTCTAACCTTGTTGCTGGTTCTTCAATAAAAAAATGCGCTGCCTGCTGTTCCCCATGTCACTTGCGATCCGCTGCCGTGTTCGCCATGAGCGTAAAGCAGCCCCTTAGGAGCAGGCTCACTATTGCGGATAGTGCGCGGAATTAGTGAATTTCGGAATGGAATTACAAAGAGAGTGACGATACAATTGAAATGATGGGATGATTCAGGGGAAACCCTAGCTAGGCGAAACCACGGGACAACGAGGCTCGGAAGTGGCGAAAAGTGCGGACGACTCGGGGGTGGTTTGGGGCGAGTTTGAAAGCCGAACCCGCTAACACGAACTTATCGGTACAGTCTTCCCTAAAAAGCTAAAGCACCGATTTTAATATAATTCCTTACAGATTTGTGCAATTATAGTTACCATATATATTTGCAGTTATCTACTCAATACTCTATAATATATCATCGCACTACAACAACGGACAATGGATATAATATACATAAAAAATCATGACATCTAAGGGTTGCTGAACTATGATTCGGAATAACCAAATTAAAGCTAAGTATGTAACAAGATAGAAATCTGCGTGAGCGTTGCTTTATACGAACAACAATCGCCTGTTTCAATTGCAATATGTATATTTATATATACATTAATTTCAACATCAAGAAGGGGAGAGAAGAGGAGCAGAAGAAGAGGGGAGAGAGGGAAAAAAGACTGATGGAAGAGGGGGAGAGGGAAGAGCGAGAAAGGGACTAACTTCAACAAACTTCGAGGCCGAGACAATGAGGTGCAGGGAGGGGGCGTGGAGGGGTGTATGGGTGACTGGGGAGGGGCGTATGGGTTGTAGGAGAAGGGTGTATGGGTGACAGGCGAAGGGCGGATGGGTCACAGCGGCACAGGGGAAGAGCAGATAGGCTGATCGGGGAAGGGCTGATGAATGATAAGGGAAGGGCGCATAAATGAGAGGGGAAGACTGGATGTATGGTAAGGAAAGGGTGGATGAATGATAAGGGAAAAGTGAGCAGGTGACAAGGGAGAAGAAGAATACATTGATGAGTGATCCAATTAGTGCGTGAGTGTAGTATCGACAGAGTATGGATGCTAATGCTGGACTATGCATGGCTGGTTGGTCGTTGAGAGGAACGGGAACACTCGCGATGAGATATCAATGTTGGCAAACGATGTTTGCTTGCTTTTGGATGGACTATGAATACATGAGGAGGGGGGGGGAAGGGCATGAGGATAGGAAAGGGGAAGGGAATGGGGATGGGGATAAGAGTGAAAAAGGGGAAGGGGAGGGGGACGGGGATTAGGTCCAGGTCGGGAATGGGGATGGCGAGACAAAAAGGGAATGGGAATTGTGGAGAATGATGGTTGCTCTATTCACACATGGAGGGTGGTCGAATGGAGGAGGGCCAGAGAAGCCAATAAGACAGCCCATGTTCGCGATGTACTTCCAACGGTTGTCGGCGTAGAAGGCGAGTCGCTCTCTTCGCGGCCTAGGGCTTGTCTTGCTCGAGTTCATGTCTTGTTGTTCAGTGAGGAGTGCGGCGCATAGTGTAGCTTCCGAGTGCCAGAATGTAATTGTATACATTACTA